CTGCATGTTTGTAAGAAACAGCTTAAACTGTTGCTTCCAGCTACAACTGTCCTCTATCCATAATATTGCCTCCTCCAGTGAAGAAGTCATCTAATCTGAATCAGGAGAGACATATGCACAAATCCAGCACCATTTACAAGAAAAACAGTCCAAAACAGTTCTACACAAATATGTGCGGATTTTGATGTGAGAGCTGGACTTTTTCATCAGAGGAAGCATTATTACGGATTATGAACTCCATATATTGGCCAGAAATGAAGGTTTAAAGTTAAAACCCCTTAATTATGAATTTGTTTCTTAGAAACATGCAGCTTTTTGTTTCACAAGACATTAACTGACGGGCTTATTTTTGGAATATTGTGATGTTTTTATCAGCTGTTTGGACTCTCATTCTGACGGCACCCATTCACTGCAGAGGATCCATTGGTGAGCAAGTGATGCAATGCAACATTTCTCCAAATCTGTTCTGATGAAGAAACTAACTCATCTACATCTTCAATGGCCTGAGAGTGAGTACATTTTAATTTCTGGGTGAACTATTCACTAACTAATTGATCATCAGTAATGCTTGATAAAAACTATTTATCACTATTTTTACATTTCCACGACTTTTCCAAATTCTGCTTGCTTCATGACCCAACAATGCTTAATAAACAGAATCTCTGTTCACTGGGTTGCTAATTTTGGAACAGAACCGAACCTCTCGGGTCATCAAACTAGTGCAGTAGTAATCATGAAGTTTTGCACCGTTCCATGTACGCCGTCCACCAAATTTAATCGGGAGATTTTCTCATTAGAAGCCCATCGTGAGTTGAGGGCCACTGTTTAAAAGAGCAGCAATTCTTCAGGTCTCAGAGAGGACATGTACATCAGTTCAGCTGAACAGGCCCTTAAAGTCAAAGGCAAAAAAATGATTGAGGACAAGAAATCGAAGCACCCTGTCCACTCCAAAAGCCACAGTGCTGGAGAAGATAATGAGCCTCTGAAGCTCTCAACGTGAGAGTCTGATTACGCTCTAACTACACACACACTTACACAGAACTGATTACATACCAAACTGCGTATGTTCTCCTCGCTTCTGGTTACCATTTTTAGTGTGTGTTCTGGTCAAAACATCAAAAATATCACACAACGTATCACATTTCCAATGCTTTTAGGTGTAAAGACAACATGAAACATTTACCTTCCAGAAATACATTATTCAGCTGGAAATAATGTGAGGCAGGATTTAATTTGATCAAATATAATTTGTTTAGATCATAAAAAGTGGACACACTAGGCCATATTTGTTAATATGCTAACACTTTAACGTATTAATTACGTTAGTTAACGCACTAACAATGAAAAATACTTTTAACGCTTAAATCTTAAGCTAAAATGTAATTACATTTTAAATTAATTAAATCTAAAATGTATTGTAAATTTCAACATTTACTAATATGTTACCATCAAAAGTTGCATTTGTTAATTATATTAATGGAACTGAACTAACATGAACTAACAATGAATGTTTGTCATTTATTAACTAATGTTAACCAGCAATAAATTCTTTAACAAATGTAATAATTGTTATTTAATGCAATAACTAATGGGACCGTATTGTAAAGTGTTACTGTTTATATAGTTAATTAAGAATATTTTTGGTAACACTTTACAGTAAGGTTCCATTTGTTAACATTAGTTAACTACATTAGTTAACATGAACTAAGAATACAAATTCTTCTAAAGTATTTATTAAACTTAGTTAATGTTAATTTCAACATTAATACATGATTAAAATCAAAACTTGTATCTGTTAATATTATTTAATGAACCTGAGCTAACATGAGCGAACAATGAATAGTTGTATTTTTACGCGCGAATCATTCATGATCCAGCCTCATCTACAGAAGAATTGAGTATAATGTTGTGTGATGAATCTTTGCAAATCGCCTTTCCAAATGATGTGCTAATTAGCAAGTTTCACGATGAATGCGGCTAAAGTAAACAGTCTCTCTGAGAGCAGCTCGGAAGAGAGGGGCGGAGTCAGCAGAGCTCATTAACATTTAAAGGAAAATGCTACAAAAATGGCTTGATCTGAAAAGAGCTGTTTTTGACAGGGTAAAAAAAGGTGTTTTTACACTACCATTGAGAAATTTTAAACAAACTATGTTACAGACTTTTCATTAAGACCCCAAAGAATTATATCAACTTGTGGAAAATGGGCATCATATGACCCCTTTAACTAGCTTTAACAAATATTAACGCATTGTTAACACATTGGTAATGTTAGTCAATGCATTAATGTTAACTAATTAGACCTTATTTTAAAGCGTTACCCATTTTTTTCTCAGCATGTGAACTAAAAAGATAACACAGAACATGATGAGAGACATTTACAGTATTTCATGTTGCCTTTAACTAAATTACCCACAAACTTCAAAGTCATATACAGTTTGATCAATATATTCTTTTTTTAATTTTAGCATTGATTTAAAAAAAACACCAAACAAAACAAACTAAACAAAAATCCAGGAGTGAAGAAAAGCATTTTTACACGTATAACAAGCATGTTTTAATACTGTTTTACACAGTCAACAGAACAATGTGAATCAAAGACGAAATTAAAACAAAACAAACTAATTAATAAAAATAAACCCCCTGCACAAATCCATCAGGAGCAGAGGAATTCCCTTTTCTATAATATAAACACGGCGAAACGGAAATAAAAATACAATAAAAAAAAAAAGATGGGCGGAGAAACTGATATTCTGAAAAAAAAGTAAAAAGCGGTGAAAAACAGTTGCAAAAATTGTTAAAAATGCCAGCGAAGGTACGTGAGTTTGCGTGTTTGTCCTTTTTGTCCGCGCCAAACGCTCGCAGGATGCACAAACCCTGCCATGATTGCAGTTCAATATCTACAAAATCTGCATTTGAACAACTTCCTTATATACACTGTACAACGATTGCCGTCAAAATTACAGCTTTTACAAAAAACGATCCGCCCAATGGCATTCAAAATGACAGTGCAAGCTCTGAAATCAGCTCACGCCAAGCATCTCAATGCTGTTCCCTTCAGGCCAAAACGCCTTTCCAATCCAAAGTTGGTCCACAGTATCATGCCTCTCTCTCTCTCCTTCTCCCTCGTTCTCATTTTGATTTATATTTTATTGATTTTCACTTTCTTTACATTTTCTTTCCCTGCATCTTTGATTCAGTATTCTGTTTCAGGACTTGGCATTTCCTTCTTTCTGACTTGCCGTTATTGCTTTCGCTCTCTCTTTCCACTATTTTCTCTGGTTTGGGTCGGTTGAGAACCGGAGGAGGTTTTTGGACTGCGTGCTACAGGCATGTGTCATTCTTGCATTGTAAGTGCCTGCGAACACACAAACATTATTGAAGATATTCTGCTTATGGCTTTCTGGTATGTAACCGTGATGTTTTCACAAAACATAAAAGGGGAGACGTAAGCTACAGAAGAGAGTTGCCCACGTTCCATTAAAAGGCTCGTCTAAAATGATCGGCTTGAAAAATAGTGCTATTCAGGATCCCACTAACGCTTCACACAAAAGACGACGCTGCTACCAGTCCAGGGCCTTAAATGTGACACGACAGGATTATTTTAGACAGGGCCGCTGTAAGTCTGAACATATCTGTTCGGTTTAGTGCAAAAAAGTCAATGCATAAAAAAAAATAAAATATTGGGAAGATACAGAAAACGTGTGTGCTTTTTGACTGTTTATAGAAAACGGTTTCATATTTATGTCCACCTGTGCACACAGACAAGATCGGCTGCAAAACCTAGTGAGCTGCCTTCTAAGGTGGCATCCGAACTGAAACGGACCCTCATAAGTGAGTGATTTGGAACGGTCTACAAAGAAAGCAACTCAACTGCCCAGCTTGATGCAAAGCGCACCCCTGCTGAAACCAGCCTAAGGTGGTTGGCTGGTCTCCCAGCCTGGCCAAGCTGGACTTTTTGGATGGTTTTAGAGGGGGTTTGGGCATTTGGGAAACATTAGCTAAACATCTGCTTGCTGGGAAAACAGTTAAACCAGTTTAAACCAGCTAAGACCTGAAAACCCCCTTAGGCTGGTTTATTTATTTATTTATTTTTAGCTTAATTTGAGTCACAATTGATTTCAGTAGAGTTTGATGCTAACAACAAAGAAAAATGTGTATCAAATTACACAAATATTGCATAACTTAGTCATTTTTAAACTACATTTAACTATTTTTATTGATATTTTTCAGAATGAAATATGAGTATATTTCTAGCTCGACTTGCCTATCGTCTTGGATCAGTTTTTTTCATAATGCATTCAGGGATGTATATGTGACTTGCTACCTTGCACTACAAATCATTATATCTGCACTGTTGTTTTACTTCACTGGTTTGCACTCTATCTGCCATGTGCCTTGTGCTGCTTTATATTTTTTTTTACATTTTACCTTATTTGTATATTTGTATAGTTGTATTTTATATTTAATCTGTATATCTGTATTTATGTTCTACTGTTAGTGTTATCTGTATGCACCAAGGGTCTGAGAGTAACGCAATTTCAATTCTCTGTGTGTATGTGCTGTACACGTGGAAGAATTGACAATAAAGCAGACTTGACTTGACTTGACTTATTTATGCTGTATTAAAAAAAAAATCCTTTCTAATTTTAATTTAGGTTTGTTTATTGTATGTAATTGTATGTAATTCTAAACTAATTTAATGTAGTTTTGTTTACGCATAAATAATTAAAAAAGTATAAGTACAAAAGTTTCACTTTATAAAATTCCAAATAAAAATATTTAAACTGAATTTAAACAAAACAAATGTATTGTTTTGTATTTACTTTAACATAGGTTTGGTATTACTATTAGTATATTATTTATTTTCATAATTTATTGTATGTAATTATAAGTTTTGTTTTTGCATAAATAATTTAAAAAAGTGTAATTACAGAAGATTTTACTTTCAAATAAAAACATTTAATGGCTTTGTGTATAGTTTTTTTTTTACATTTCTATTACTTTTAGGATTTTGTTTATTGTCATTCTTTATTGTATGTAGTTGTAAGTTTTGTTCTTGCATTAAAAATCTAAAAGATGTAATTAGAAAGGATTTTATTTCATGAAATTCCAAATAAAAATATTTAAACGTACAATTTGTATCATAGAAGGCAGCATACTATCGTCTAGGTAGGCGGCTCACTAGGTTTTAAGACAGATCCAGATTTCAAACACACAAAGAACAGCACCAAACAAATCAGGAACTGGAAGGAACAATGAAATGCACCAGGCGATTTCTGAAAACACGTCTACAGATCATTGGTCTCCGTTCACTATGACGCTTCTTGTTGCTTTAATCGTCTGGTCCCCACCCATGACATCACTTCCGGCCACTTCCTGTGCTTTTATATTTGAGCTGCTCATGCAGAGGGCAGCGCTGAGAGTTTGTCCTCAGACCCAATCTGCTCCATCCATCTCACAAACTCTGACAGACGCAAGAGTTTAGAGTCTTTTATGTGGGAAAACACGGCCTGTTAACGTCACTAACTGCGTCTGTAGTTCGCGGTGGCGTATCAGACCTCAGTCTGCTGCGTATGCGGGTGCATGTGTGTGTCCTCCAAACTATCCAAGCTTCCTCCCGTCTCAGAGTCTTCAAACCCACAGGGCGCGGAGGAAACGTCGGAGGCAGAGGAGGCGTTGACGGACAGACGCTCCTCCCTGCCTGTAAAAGTGCTAAACTCCTCCCCCGCAGAGCTGAGTGGCAGCTGATGCGGAGGCAGGTATTGGCTGGGGTGAAAGTGTGGGCGGGGCTTGCGGTCCCTGCTCAGAGTGCTCTCCCTGGAGACGGGTTGATTGGCGGGTGAGGTGTCGTATTCCTCCGTGGGAAGGGGCGGAGGCAGCTGGTCCTGGGACATAAACTCCTCCTCCTGAGGAGGCGGGTAGTCGCTGTCAATATCGAATCCGCCGAGGTAATAGTCGGATTCTAAGGCCACGCCCACTTCACCCGTCTCATAGGTGGGGACTTCCTCGATGTCTGGTAAGCGTATGCTCGGCAGCCAATCGGAAGTGTCCCAGTGGTATGCTGGAGAAACAGGAAACAGGAAGTTAGTAAACATCAAGTGGGCAAACAACTAAGGGTGTCCTTCGGTAGGTACGTAATCATGTAGGGCTGCATGCTTGGTCATTCTGAAGGGAGGTTAACAGGTTAGACATCAGTCCTGTCCCAAACGGAGCACTTGTTGAGACCGTGGGGTGACCCATTTGCAACATAGTCTCACTGGAAAAACGTGCTTCTTGCTTTTGCAAAAACGTACCTATACATACAATTCACTGCAGTTTCCAGCACTAGTGTCAGTAAAACACCAACTTTTATTCATGTTTGCACAAATTATGATATGGGGCAGATTATCAATTAATAAAGGCTTATTCTCTCAAAGGTATTTGCACAATTTTTTATACATTTTACATACATTTTTTCCACATTTCTGCTCAGTCTTTGCTCATTAATATATATATATATATATATGTTTTGTGATGAAGTAGTATTGGAAGCGCAGGGACGCACACGCACACGAACACACACACTGTACACGGCCTAATCCTCGCTATCAGAAAACATCAATATCAAACAAAAGAAAAACACAAAGTCAGCAATGGAAGCACTGCGGGGGAAGAGACAGACGCGAAAGAGAGGAAAGGGGTGACGGAGGGCTGCAGGTACTCTGATGTGTGTGTGCGTGTGTGTGCGAGAGCGCGTGTCGACAAAGAGCATCTCGCTGCTGGATGATGTGACATTTCCCAGAATGCAATAGCTCAGTTTGTCAGCAATACGGAAAGGGAGAGCGAGAGAGGGAGGAATAGACAGAGAACAAAGTCTGAAAAGGAAGGAGATGCAAGAACTCCGGGAGATTTAGCTGAACAAAGCAGGAGGAGAGAGAGAACGTGAATCACCTCTGTTGAAGTTTTGACCTTGATCCATAACGGACACTGGTAGGCAGAAAAGAAGCAGGAAGACAGAGAAAGAGAAAGAGAGACAGATTTGTGGGTCAGCACCAAACCCATTCTAACTGTTTTGTGATATATTGGTGCATGTGACAACCTTACAAAAATTAAACATGGTTTCTTTTTTTTTTTTTGAATGAATAAATCTAGAAGTTGGGACGTTTTGTAAAATGCAATAAAATCAAGAATTTCTGATTTGTTCATTCTCTTTAACTTTTATTTAATTGACAAAAGTACAAAGAAAAGATTTCCAAAGTTTTCACTGACCAACGTAAATGTATTTTGTAAATATAAACACATTTTGTTTTTGACGGCTGCAACACATTCCAAAACAGTTGGGACAGAGGCAAAATAAAAGTGAAAAGGTTATAGAATATCCATGTTAAACTGTTTTGAAACAGTTCACAGTAAGCAGGTGAATTGGTAATAGGTCAAGGTATCATGTTTGGGTATAAAAGGAGCATCTCGGTCTTTGCAAGCAAAGCTGGATCATTGCTCATCACTTTGTGCCAAATTTCACGAAAGAAGTGTCAAACAAATCAAAAATCACATTTCGCAATGCAGGGCTCAGGAGTACTTCAGAAAACCCCTGTCATTTACCACAGTCTGCTGCTGCATCGAGAAATGCAACTTGAATCCGTTACTCTAGGAGAAAGCTATACATCAATTCTATGCAGTGATGCCGCCGGGTTCTCTGGGGCAAAGCTCATCTCAGCTCGTCAAAAAGACAGTGAAAATGTGTGCTGTGCTCAGATGAGTCCACATTTCAACTTGTTTCCGGGAAAAATGGATTTTGAGTTCTCAGTCCCAAAGAC